AGCACCTTTTGCTTGTCTTCCTTGTTCGTTGTCTTTTTTACAAACTACCCCTCCGTCTCTAAATAAGTGTCCTTTAAGAGTAAGTACAGTAATAGGCTTACCAAGCTAGTCAGCATTTTTGCTGACGTGGAGAAGAGAAGAAAGGAGAGCTTGGCTCCCATACAAGCAACAAGCTAGGCATGGAAGCATAGACAGTAGTGGGTCCCAATAGAGATGTATATGAGTAGTAATAGGAAATAGAATGAAAACATGTACTAATAAAAAAAGTTTGTAGATAAATAGAAGACTAACTATTGTATTGCTTAGCTCTTATAACTTGGCTTATAGCCTACCAAAGTACTTGACTCTATTATTGACCCTTCTCTTAGAGCAAGTTCAATAATAGAGCCAAGCCAAGTGTTTGGCTATTAGTTAAGTTGCAAGAGCCAAGCTATACAATAGTGGTCTCTTATTTGTCTATAAGAAACTTTTTTTATTATTAGTTTTACACAGCCTCACCTTCTCTTTCATAATGCTCCTCATATTCTTTTAGTGTATGGACCTACCATTGTCTATGCATCCGTGCCTAGCTTGTTGCTTGCATAAGAGCCAAGCTCTCATCTTTCTCCTCCCTTCTCTCCTCCACATCAGCATTTGCATAGCTATAAGCCAGTTATTGTACCTGCTCTTAGGAGTTGGGCACGGGAATTAAAGAAGAATGAAAAAGTAGAGAGTGCACAGGAAGCGAGGAGATGTGGAAGAGGAGAGAGATAAAGATAGAGTTGTATTGGAAAGTGAGAAAGACATTTATTTTGGGATAAATTTTGAATCCTAGAAGAACACTTATTTAGGAACAGAGGGAGTAGTAAGGTGGTCTGCGCATTTACGCGGCTAGATTTGTTTTACTTAAAAAGTAATTTTTTACTTTATTAGTTTCCTTTTGATATCAGCATTTCATTGAACTGTAGCTGTCTATTTTTTGTGTAGTCTCTACAGTCACATGGTCCATCAATCTAATAACGTCAAACTCATGTCGTCAATATGTATATGGTTTTTTTAGCTATTGATGATCGAAGCTAAAACATTTTAATATATTACTTATCACATAGCTATATTAAGTTTCATCACCTGGGTAATTACTGTGTTATATATATCCTGGACCATCTAAATAAATGAAGTATTTATTTCTTTTATGTTGGTTAATGATCGATCTCATGTGTACCCTCAACTTATCAATTATTTGTGTTGGCACCTTTTTTTGCGACTAATTAATTGTTGTGTCTGCTTCTGGTCTTACGTGTTTTTGTGTATTAGCCTGAAATAATATTTTCTGGCGTGTTACCATGCTTTGGATTTGTACCTTTTCATTAAGGTTTTTATTTTTATTTTATTCACGGAAATATTTCATTATATGAACAAACTTTTATACCGTTGCTAAATACTGCAGAGGTGATGATAAGCCGTGTAGAAAGAACAAAAAAAAATATGGGGCTCAGATGTGTGCATAACTCAGTCTGACCTAATTGAGTTAATTGGACTTTTGGTAATCTGCGCCTTGTTGCCCTTTGAGATCCTGCTTAAACAGCATAATATGTATGCAGTCGTGCCAACTATTCGGGAGTAGTAGCTCATGATAGGTTATATATAGCAAATCAACTTTGCACATCAGTGCCTAATTCCAAGCGGCACAACAGAATAACCTTGTCCAACCTGGCAACAGGCGCAGAACTTTGTTGCACTACTACTCAAAGGCAGCATAAGCAAAGCTACCATGCATGGGTTCTTCTGGGTCGGAAGAGAGGCGGATGCTGATGCATGGAGCCACTAAAATATACCAGTCTCTGAATTTCCAACGTTGTGAGCATGAGGTGTTCCTGAATAGATAATACCTTCATTAGAATCAAGCAATGCAAATTAAACGAACGTTAAATACTGTTGGAGTACGTGATATATGGTCATTTGACCCAACGTGCCTACCTTTGACTGTACTATATCTCATGGCGTTTGGAGCTAGTCCTGAATCCCGAACTTGTTTGGCTGAGCTATGGCCCAACGCACAACTTCCTGTGCTAGCGGAGATGCTGCAGGGAGCTGCATGACTTGCGTTAAAGCTTGGCAGCTTGCAACGTCTTGCTTCTTGCCTGCTTTGCTGCTCCGATCCTTTCTTTATGACATATGTTTGACGACCAAATTCGCACATCATATCGAAGCTCACGTTGCTGTCGTCGGGTCGGATCAGATCGGAGAAGCTAGCTGCCGGCCGGTGATCTAGTACAGCTGTAGAGGCTTCCGGCTCTTTGCTGAAACTGATCTGCCTCCGCGCTCTTTGTTGCACGCAACCTAATCGGGTGCAGAGGAGCCACAGGACCATTCGCTTGGCATCACCTTGCAATTCTTGGGTCTCTTAGAGCTGGAGAGATACTTGGGCTGATTATTCCATCATCAGGGGTTCGTCACGCTAGCTTCTCCGGACCTCGTTCGCATCCGGTGGCTGCTACATCAGCTTCCCAGAGTCCTCGAGGCCGTTGCGCGCTACCTCTTCCGCCGCTGCAGACTCTTGAAATCACCGTACCGGCCGGACACAGTGTCAATGGCGACGGCGTCTCGATCTCTCCATGACGCGTGGGAACCCTTGAAAGCTTCCTGCTGTTATATGATCTGCTTGCTTTGCATCACGATTGATGATTACCTAATAAAGTTTGATAGATTCTATTCCAACATGGTAAAATAATCTCGTATTTCCTTATTTGACATTTTGATATGTCTCCTGGTCAATTCAAATACACATATGTGATCTATCTCGCTACTATCTAATACAAAGGATATTCTATCTTTAGTCCGTTCATCAAATACATAATAGGATAATCTTTCTTGCCATCATATCACAAATCAATCACAGTCGTACCCACTAAAATCGATGGTAGTTATTTTTTTCTAGTTTCTATGATTAACGTGGTAATTTCTAAGCCTTGAGAGCAAACATGGAGGCTTCTTTTGTTGGCCAAATTCTAAGATAACTAGTAAAGTGACCCACGCATTTGCGCGGCTAGACACATAATTTGTCCCTCCCTCTTGGATCTTTTCAATTTGATTTTGTTACTTTTCAAGCACTTTGATTGGTATTGCAAAGCAAGTGAATACGTCATGATCTTTTTTTTCCCTGTATATTTTTAGCTCCGGATGCAAGTCATCATATACACCGTAAACTTATTAATATATGACATGGGATACATACAATCTACTGTTATTAAGAAATTCAGTGGTTACTTTGTAACAAAAATGATAGTAAGAAGCTATAAAATTCATTTGTTTTTCTTAACAAATCTAATAATTCAACTTTTATGCACCAATCCACGTACATTTTCTTAGAATAATGGCTTAACGTGAGAGTACAACAATGCTTAATGAGCAAAGGGAGTGTTTACTTTAGTTTCTCGGATGGCTCTAGCAATGGCAGATGCCACAACTCTAGCCTCAAGGTGCTCCTTGGCAGTTGATATTGCTTTACCGATCTCAACCGATCCTTGCTCCTTGATGCGACCTCCACTGACCGCCACCGTGTTCGTGATAGTGTTCCTCATCCATCTGGTTCTCCCGTTATTTTCATCCATATGGTTCTCCCGTTATTTTAGAGTTTGATTCGGCTAAGCTCTAAACGATCTTATTTGATGATCTTATCAAGCGTATACTTATCTCTCTCTTTTTTATTGCGAGGGAAGCATATACTTATCTCTTATATGTTACAGAGATAGCATGAATCGGATGCCCATGTCTCATGCAATCAATTCTATCTTGTACAACTAATTTAAACCTTTTGTCTCCCGGTCGGATTTATTATTTTCTTTCCTTTTCATAGTGAGTAAGGGTTCACGTGGGAGATATTTTTAAAATTACAAAAAAACATTTTTTAAATAGCAATGCTTGGTATTTATGGATAGACTTAGGGGTATTTTGGGCTAATTTTATCATAATGGTAGTGGTGGGTAATTTTTATTTTCCTTTTTTCGATTATTCTAGGCCTTGAGAGCGAACGTGGAGATTTCTTTGGTTGGTCAAACACTAAGATAATAGAGGATGAAACGATCCATGAATTGTATGCATGGGGACAGACATACTTTGGTTTGATGATGAGGTGAGCCGTTAGGCACAAACGGTACGTGAACGTACCATCATCATTATCATCATCATCAATAGTGATATGATCGATATGATGGAGAGCAATTATATTATTATTAGCAGGTCGGCCGGTCTTACCAAAAATCGGACACAAAAACCCTACTCACCTCGCCACGATCGATATATGTTAGTTGCAGCCTGTTATACCTTTTTCGTTCCGAGTATATGCATCATCTTGTTCACTGTCCTGCGTTGTAAAACTTTGAACTACCTCTTTTTTTAATTTAATACTAATATGTGTAGCTCTACTGCGTACTCCCTCCATCCCGCAAAGGAAGTCATTCTAGCATTTGAAATTTATCTCACAAAAGAAAGTCATTCTAGGAGAAGTGGGCCTGGTATTAAATCATGCCTCTATTGGACTTTGCATGCATGCGCGTGGGGATTTGCCAACTGCACACAGCATTGGTTGAGAGCTAGCTTGCATACATGCATGCACACACAAAACTAAGAGTTTCCTTGTACTCCGTAATTGTCTACCTCCTCAACACTAATCTGTCTTAAAAATGTTAGAATGACTTCCTTTGCGGACGGAGGGAGTATTTGACAGAGAGAAAATTAAAATTAATGATCTGTTCAGGATGACATCCAAAGCTGCCGCGACTCATGATGACCATGTTTCTGGATCATGAGCGACCACCAAATTAATTGCATGGCTTCCATCCTATTGATTGGTCAGCTTTCTTATCAAGAAATCATGCAGGCTGAAACTTCGCAATAATAATACAAGCGCGAGTCGTTGTGTTTTTTTTTTCCTAAAACAATCAATAATTTGTTTATTTTGTTATCAGGCGGTTCTTCTTCCACTACCAATAAAGGACGAGAAGGGGAAGGGGAAGGAGACGATGGAGAGTAAGAATACAAGAAAGACCCATCAAAAGTCGTCTGACAATGACAACGAGCGTACAGGGAAGACTGACACTGGCACCGGTGATAAGTTGATAGAAAACATGAACCGTAGCAGTACAGGGAAGAGTGACTATGGCATTGACACCCAAAGTGATAAACAATCTAAGGAGAAGGGAAAGGGTAAGGAGACGATGGAGAGTAAGAATACAAAAAAGACCCATCAAAAGTCATCTGACAATGACAACGAGCGTACAGGGAAGACTGAAAACAAGCCTATAGGGAAGAGTGACAATGGCATTGGTGCTAAATTGATACAAAACATGAAGATAGCACCCAAAGGAAGGTAATCAAACAAGAAAGAAGATTAATGCCAACAAGGTAAAGGCTGGCAGAACTAGGGCTCTTAAATAACGTGGAGCGCGGTAATTGACGTGGCTGTATACAGCAACAGAGGATGTGGACTGGTCTTCTCTTTCTTACTAAGAGAAGAGAATGATGCTGAGCATTCTGCTCATAATGCAAGCAACAAGCCTTGCAGCTCTGTAATTATGTTCCTTTTTTATATTTTTCTTAATTTGATATATATGGTGTGACAACATTAGTTGTTATCCATATTATGTGAAATTTGTATAATTTCAAATAAAATGGATTTTGCTTTGTAGAAATTTGTAATGGCTTGTTCTACTGCTAGTTGCGAACGATCCGCTTTAAGTGGCATTTGTAATTAGCAGGGGTAAGACCGTAAGAAGCATTTTTCTTTTTGCGCGACTCAATACAAACACAAACACAAACACTCATATAAATGTGCACACACTCATTCCTACAAACACACACATGCAAATTAACACTAACCCTATGAGCACCTCTCAGAGACTGAGGTAACCCGACAGATGTTGAGATTGATGAAGTCACCACATGTGCATCGCTATCGACATGCATGTCACCTACCACTGAAAAAATAGCACCGTTAAATCTTACAATAAATCCAGGGAAAGGTGAACTTACCTACCCGTGCTAAGTCGAGAACTTGAAACCAGGTGGCAGATTCCTCCACAAGGAACATCTGTTGCAATTATACTAGCAATAGTATAGTACTCAAACAAACCAACTAGATCAATATCGTTTGTAATTTTGTATTGTTCCAAAAGAAAACTATATCCAAATTCTCGACGGACCACTAATCATCTTGTCTCCAAATAGAGGAGCTCAAAATACTCATCCTGTTGCTTTCGCTTGCACTTCTTCTAAATGCTTGCCGCATTTTAGTGCATATTTCCTATATATGTGCTAAATACTTTTTCACACTAAGATTTATGCATGAAAACATTCTTCATAATTTATTGATGTATTGTCCCATTGCATGTCTATCACACCCAAAAATTTTCGATTTTGGGTTGTCAAAGAAAACACTAAATAAAATAAATTATTTTAATATTTGGATAAAATTTACCAAGTTTAGTTTGAGCTAGCGCAAATTTAGCTATAGAAAAAATATGAATTTTCAAAGTTTTCTAATTTTGACGGGCGTTTGGATGATATGATGGTTGCTTGTTGCTTCTTTGTGTGTTGAGAGTAAACAAAGTCTTTAAAATACGTTAGTAAGTCGATTTTCCTTCTCCGGCACGTCTTTATCTTTTTCTACAATTAAATTCTTTGTTTCTCGGCTCAAGTTTTTGTTGGAAGCTTCCTAAAATCTTTTCCTTATAACGCAAATCACTCATTTTAGTTCCTCATCCGTCAATCAATCTCTATAAACTTCTCGGGATTTTTTTAGCTTTTTCTAAAACTTGTTCCTACTTGTCTATGAGCATAATTTAATTTTTAGATACTCCAAAATATCTTATCATGGGCTCCAAATACTTTATTTGGGTTCCTCATGTTCCATAATGCCTCTGGAAATTTTCCCCGAATTTTCAGAGCTTTCGGAGTATTTTTCGCGGCTTAAATAATAATTCTAGACTTTTCTGAAATTATTTTATCCATGAAATTAATTAATTCCGAAAATAATAAATCTCTCATTTTTCCTAACCCTCAAAGCCCATATGCAATAATCCTAATAAATCCTAAAGGCCTATGCATTTATTTACTAATGAGCTTTAATGATTATTTAGGCCTATTAGTAAATATGGAGAATGCAACATCAATTAGTATCATATTGGTAGTTAATGTAGATGTAGAGAGTTTTTCTTCCAATAAATATGTACCAACTCCTTGGCCAAAGCACACCAAAACTATCGTAAGGGAGCCCCTAGTTTCGGAAATCCCTCATGTAGTAAATTAGATTTTTCTCCTCCTTCTCTTGCCATCGTCGTCGCCGCCACGCTACCCAACCCGACCATCCTCACCTTCATACAACAAGTCAAGCCCACCCCTACGCACTTGCTGTTGCCATGGCCGTGTGGTGGCTGAATGGGAGGCCAAAGGATGAAGACGAGGTAATTACAAAATTACCACCGGTTCGTAATATCGTCGTCGTATATTCGTTTTAAGTCCGTTTCAAGTCGTTCCAATTGCGTTAGATTCGTATTGATGTTATCTACATGTTAGTGTCATCGCTTTTCATGTCAAGTGACTTTTATACATATGCTTAAATATTAATTTGATTAATATGCAAGCAACTAGTTTTTATAAATAAAAGCAACATATTTATATACAATGTTCTTTTGCAAATAAGTTTTAACATGACTAGTTGCTAACATAAATATGTTTCTAAATTATAATATATTTAGTCTAAACACACATATCAAATTTGATTAGATGTTCTCACATGTCAGTTTGTATTGCAAGTTAAAGTTGAATGGGCATAAATGATATCAAAATATTTATAAATAAAATATGATTAGCTTCAACTCAGTTTTTAAGTATAAATATGATTTGTTTAATCTAAATTAATTCTACTCACATAGTTTTTCCTAATTAATATAAATCAAGCTTATAGTCTTCTCTTTTCTTTTATAATATAAAACCCTGTAGTCGTTTTTTTATAATCGTAGCTCTAATAAGTGTGTTTTTCGTGTCTATGTGTTCGTAGCGACATCTAGAACATCTTTAAAACCTTTTTACTTGTTGTTTATTATGTTTGGTGTACTGTTCTGATTTAGATCTATTGTTTGCTTCGTGTATGATTGCATGATACTTGTGTGGTGCTTTATGATCATGTCCAGTCGGTGAGCTATACGTGGTAAATCAAGAAGCAGACCTTTGAAGGTTTGGACTAGAAGAAGGATCAGAGTTTTAAGGAAAGTATAGCATGTGATCTTTTTTGTTGTCCTACACACCTTTAATCATTTAATTCATACTACATATATCTACCTTGACTACCACTAAGGATTTTCTAGTACTTTGTACCTTATACCTTGACACATATAGGGTATTGCATTGGGTAATATGATGCTATTGCTCAACTACAACCATGATCTTGTAACTTGACTAATGCAATATGCAATAAACACTAAAAGATGCTTTTTAGCAATATGGAACAAGGGGGCTAGAGCATTGGGCTATTTTATGGTGCTCTAGATTCCTCTCCCTAAGGACTTATTTGTAAGTGATCATCCGAGACTTATAGTACAGCTGTGAGGGCTATATGGCTCTGGCTTTAGCTCAGTATGATGACCTTTTCTAGCTTGTTAGTGGTTACCTTTATTGGCGTAAGATTGGCTGGAGGAATCGGGGTTAGTGTGGCCTTTGTCCCCTTGTGTAGAGGTTGCGTGTCATTGTAAGGCTCTACATCTGTTTGCCGAATGAATGTAATGGCCCTAACTTGTTTGACGAACCTTTGAAACACTTCATAGTGAACCCTGCCAACCTTCCTTGGAAGTGGGTTAAGAGATTAGCTACCTCAGGCGAAAGGGTAAATCACGACTCACAGTGAAAGTGTACAACCTCTTAAGAGTGTAAAAGTGGTATATCAGCCGTGCTCACGGTCACGAGCGACCTTGGAACCCTTATGGAATAGATGATCATTAATGGTTAATGATGATGGACACTGATGATACTAGTGATAAAGATGCTCACTAATGATTACTGTTTATGTTATTCATTATTCATGTTTACCTGATCATGTGTTTAAATGGGCTTATAATAAACTTGTTGCTACTCCTATGCTAAAATTGTGACAATTAAAGGCTAGTCGTAGTTAAACCAGTGTCAGCCTTTTAAGCCTCATGAACCCCATGTTATATTTGTTGAGTACGACATATACTTACACTTGCTTTACTTTTAAACCTTTGGAAAAATCTCGGATGGGTACCAGATTGCTAGAGTTTGAAAGAATTAGACTTGTGATCAACCAGTCAGTTGTCCTTGTGGAATTGGAGTCTTCACCCGAAGATCGGTTTCCGCTGTTTGCTATCTAAGGTTTTATTCTTTATACGAAGTACGTTATATATTGAGCATTGTCTATTGATATTACCCTTATTTGTAGTTATATGTGAGATTTAACTTCCTGGGCGCATATATGGTGTGTATCTGGTTTTGTTCTTAAAATCGGAAGCTACAAAGTGGTATTAGAGCAATGCTGACTGTAGAACACAAGCCTAGTAGAAACTAGACGTTCTAAGGTTTAGAATTTGCTACAAGACTACTTTTTTCTCCTTGACTAGTTGAATTGATTATTTCTTATCCATGTCATATTTTCTTCTCTTCTTGATAGCTTCCTTTGAGCTATTGTTTCTTATCTCCCTGATTTTTATTTCTATGGTTTACTAAAGTTTTCTGATCTCACCTTATTTAAATTTGCGATGGCCTTTCATCATAATGCACTCCTTAGGATGCCCATCATTACTACAGAAGCACGTGTAGTTTTGATGTTGTGATGCATGCTTGTCTTGTTTGGTGTGTTGCTTGTTTGTTATCCCTATCTTTGTGATCCAAAGGAAGGCCCTAAAGACTACACCAACACGAGGATCTTCGTATAGAATATTTAGAGTTTAGCAAAACTCTTGTTAAGTGGGGTAGCATCCTCTACAAAGCATCATTGACCTTTATCTTCCTTGCTATCCTGTGAAACTCCCAAATCCACTTTATCATGCAAGTTCATTCCTTCATCTCATGAATCCCGAATCAAGGAAGTGTAGAGGCGTGAAAATCTTCTTTATCTTTCTCCCTAATCTCTCCGAGTCTCGAGACAAGATTCCTGTTAAGTGGGGTAGTTTGTCACACCCCAAAATTTCTAATTTTGGGTTGTGCAAAGAAAACACTAAATAAAATTAATTATTTTAATATTTGGATAAAATTTACCAAGTTTAGTTTGAACTCGCGCAAATTTACTTATAGGAAAATATGAATTTTCAAAGTTTTCTAATTTTGACGGACGTTTGGATGATATGATGTTTGCTTGTCGCTT